TACATTTAACATTTGAATTTTCATCTTAAATTTGACACTCAGAGACTGCTTCTGGGAAGATGGAATGGAGTAGATGGTGTTCAGTTTCTTCTGGAGGTTTTTGCCTTATACACCCCAGACTTGGAATTAAAGAAGTAGGCAATTTGGAAACACTAACAGGCACAGACCCAGGGAAGCCTAAGCTAGGCTGAAAACTTTCAGACAATAGCTGCTATACTCCAGACACCACAGGAAAAACAAAACTGTGGCCCCACCCTCACTCACGGCAGCTGAACGGGTGGTCCAGATTTCCACCCTCTGGTGGTTGTCTGTAATCTAACAAATCCTTTACTGATGCGTGTGGCTGGTGTTCAGTGTTTTGCTATTACAGACAATGCTTCAGTGTTTCTTCCTCTTATTTGTATCTTTGGACATCAGTGTAAGTGTGTTTTTTTTGGGGGGGGGCAGGGCGAGGGACTGGGGTTTGAACTCAGGGCTTCATGCTTGCAAAGCAGGTGCTCAAATGCCTGGGCTGTATGTACAGTCCATTTTGGTCTTGTTATTTTGGAGATGGGGGTCTTTCAAATTATTTACCTGGGCTGGCCTTTATCCTCTGGATCTCAGGCTCCCGAGTGCTAGAATTACAGGCGTGAGCCACCTGCACCTGGCAAGTGTTTTTTTTACTAATAGGGTACATTTCTAGATGTAAAATTGTTGGGCCAATAGCATACAGTGAAACCCTCAAGTGGCAGATGGATGACATCAAAAGATGGAAATATGTAAGAAATACTCAGTTTTCAGTTTACCTTTTCTCTTTTGTTCAGATTGGATAATTTTTATTGTCCTTTCGGTTCAGGTTTTTTTTCCTCTGTCCCCTCCATTTGGCTTTTGAGGCTGTATAAGTCAGCCTTTATTACTCACTACAACAAAATACCCAAGATAAATAACTTTATTTTTTCTTTTGGCAGTACTGGGGGGATTGAACTCAGAAGATAAATAACTTCTAAAAAGAACAGGTTTATTTTGGCTCATGGTTCTGGAGATTTTAGGCCAAGATCTGGTGGATCCATTGCTTTGGGCCTCTGGTGCTTGTGCTGGGTGGCAGTGACCAGGAATGTTAGAACTGTCCTCAGGATCAGTAAGGGGAAGAGAACGAGGAAGAGGCAGGAGTCTCACAGTTCTGTAGCATGCCCACAATGACCTAACTCACCCATGAGGTCTGTCACCTGAAGGTTTATGGCACCACAGTAATGCCACCCTGAAACCAAGTCTTTAATGCATGGACACATGGGGCACACTAGCATCAAAACCATAGAGAGCCCATTTGCTGAGTCTTTTGTTTCAGTTGCCTCATTTTTTAGTTCTAAAATTTTCCATCTGGTTCTTTGTATCTAATATTACTCTGCTGAGGCTTGCTATTTTTTCATTTGTTTCAAGCTACTGATAATTACTCATTGAAGCAATTTTATCCTGGCTACTTTAGATAGATACTTTGTCAGATAACTAACATATCAGTCATCTTGGTGTTAGCATCTATTGATTGCCTTTTAAAATTCAGTTTGATACAGTTCTTGGTAGTACAGGTGATGTTTAATTGAAACCTGGGTATTTCCTATTATAAAATCCCAGATCTTGTTTATCACTTCTGTTTAAACTTCTCTGGTGGGGAGAGGGATTGGGGAAGGAGAGAATGGTGGTGGCATTGCCTAGTTACAGCCAAGTGAAGATGGAAGTCCAGGTGCTTCACCAGCTACCCAAGGTGGGGAGGCACCTCATTACTGCTGGGCAGGGGTGAAAGCCAGTGCCCCAGGTGGTACCACTGATATCCCAGTGGAGGTGGCCTCATTACTGCTGGTTGAGGATCAAAGTCTCTCTACTAGGCCTCCTCTGACCCCACCCTAGCAGGAAGTGCGGTGGGAAGGGGATGGGAGGGGAGAGAAGGGGCCCTGTTTCCCTCCTTGGCCTTCTCTGACACCATTTCTGGCCAAGGACATTACAGCCTTCAGAAGACTGATTAGATTAATTGAGAATAAAATATGCAATTTGTGAAAAGGGGATATATAGCCTGATCACATTTTTTTTTTTCCAGAATTGGGGCTTGAACTCAGGGCCTACACCTTGAGCCACTCTGCCAACCCTTTTTGGTGATGGGTTTTTTCAAGATAGGATTTCACAAACTGTTTGCCTAGGCTGGCTTCAAATCAAGATCCTCCTGATCTCTGGCATGAGCCACTGATGCCTGGCTCTGATCACATTTTTAAAAGAAAAAAATATGTGTACATAGAAAATAATATAGAATAATAAGTAACAAACTATTGGCTTTCTGTAGTGCTTCAGGTCTCATTTATTATTAAAGTAATGGGTGTGTATTACTGTTAGAGGCAGTGAGAAGTGTCCACACATACCATCTTTCTTACACCTTTGTCACCAGTTTAATGATTTTAATACTGCTGTGATGGGCACCTTGGGAAATTATAGTTAAGGTTATAGATTAAATAAATGGAAAAGGGTGAAGCCCCTGAGTCAGACTAACTTTGTCTACCAAACTTTACTGTTTGTTTTTTTTTCAATTACTTTCAAATTTGGGATGCTTTTTCATGTATCTATTCTAAGGCTGCAATGCATATTAAAAATAAGAGGAATAAAAAGCAAAACAACAATGATAAAATTTAACAACAGCTACAATCTGTTGTGAAAATATTCATCACCAAGCTCTATGGAAAGGTACTGTGTTGAACCAGGCACCGGTGATACATGCCTGTAATCCTAGCTACTCAGGAGGCAGAGATCAGGAGGATTGCAGTTTGAAGCCAGCCCTGGGCAAATAGTTCATGATCTTGACAAAACCCATCACAAAGAAGGGCTGGTGGAGTGGTTCAGGGTGTAAGCCCTGAGTTCAAACCCCAGTACCTCAAAAAAGTACCGTATTGACTTTATCTGTAATAACCTTGTATGTAGTTAGTTTTCCATGCTACAAATGGATGGTTAGTGTACTAAAGAAGTAGCTGTAGGTACCAGTTTGCTGTACACATACAGTACAATGCCTTAGTACTGTGAACTGGCATGTCATGCTAACCTTCCCGCACCAGTGTTCCCCAGACACCTTACTTTGGGTACCTGTAACAAAGCAAGGATTCCTAGGCCCCACAGGATTCTGCTGAATCCTGAAAATTCTGGCTTATCTTTGAGCTCATGGAAGTCAACTGCTCCATTCATTGAATAGGAGTAGAAATTACTTAATTCTACTGCCAGAGACCTTCATTTTAAAAGCTTTCCTTGGATTATTTTTAATTACACTAAACTTTAAGACCTTCTTTTGAAAGATTTTTTTTTTGAACACCCAGCTTTATGCTTGCTAGGCAGGTGCTCTACTGCTTGAGCCATACTTCTAGCTTTGAAAGTAAATTTTTGCACACATTGCAGCATTAGGAATTTATGATTCTCTCTGGCTACGTTTGTATATGTTTCGTTGCTGATAAAAATGATCAGGTTTTTTTTTTTTTGGTGGTATTAGGGTTTGAACCCAGGGCCTCAAGTGTGCTAAGCAGGTCTCTACCACTTGAGCCACTTTGCCAGCTCTTTTTTGTGTTGGGTATTTTTGAGATAGGGTTTCGGGAACTATTTGCCCAGGGCTGGCCTCAAACGGAGATGAGAGGTATGAGTCACTGGTTTTTGGCTACTTTTTTTGTTGTTGTTGAGACAGATTTTTTTTTTTAAAGCCAATTTCAGTTGTGACTTAGATGCTGATCCTCCTTATATGTCCTTTTTTTAACTTAGTTCCTCTAACTTATTTATTTATCTATTGGTTCTGTAGCTTGAACCTAGGGCCTTATTAGCACATGCTAAGCCCCACGCTCCACCACTAAGCTGTACCCCCAGCCACCACCTGTCACTTTTTTCTGATGCAACATTTTACTGATTTTTTTTTTTTTTGAGAGTTATTTTAGGATGATAAACAGTACTTTTGCTAGCCTCTTTGAATGGCTTGCTGAAGAGTTGGTTCTGGTGCTTTCCATAGACTTCATGGTAAAAAGAGGCTGTGCTGGTCACTAGCAAATGTCAAAATGTTTCCTTTCTCTCTTTCTAAACTTGGGGCATACCTGATAAAATTAAAGATTTGTCCCATTGGACTTTTTGGAAAATTCTGGCTTATCTTTGAGCTCATGGAAGTCAACTGCTCCATTCATTAAATAGGAGTAGAAATTACTTAATTGCAAAATTATCTTTTATTATTTTCTTGCTCCCTGAAGGAATGTGCAAAACAGGATAGTGGGTATTTAAAATGAAATTTGCTTTTTTAATGGGAAGAGGTTGGCAGTTATTTAACTCTTTGGAGACAGGCATACCTAACAAGTTCCCCTTTTTACATTACCTTATAAAGAATACTACTGTCAGGTGAAAACCAGATCACTAGCTCTGCCTGATGTGGTAGAAGTTAAGGAAGGGAACCAGGTTTGCTAAAGTAATTGTGGTGACAGGAAAATATTAGCCTCAGAAGTTACTGAGTTACATTCTATCTTAGTACAGTGCAAGTAAGGAAAAAAAAATGCTGTCAGAATAAGAAATGAGTTTTACATTTCATAAAACCCATGAGAGACTTTTCTTTGCCCTAAGGCAAGGATATATGTTTTGCCCTAGGGATTGATGCACCGTAGCAGATATAAGCCACATGTGGCTACTTAATTAAAGACAAATAAAACAAAATATTCAGTGTATTGGAACTAGCCTTAGAAAGTACTCACACAAGCCAGATGTTGCTAGTGGCTACCACACCGGGAGCGGTACTACAGTCTCTCCATCATTGCAGAAAGCCCTTTGGCTGGTGCTCACGTAGTCATTTCTAAGAAGAAAATGAGGCAAATGAAAGACAGATAAATAATGAAGACCTCTCAATCTCCACCCTCTGTCCACAGTGCACATTTCCTATCTGCTGGTGTCCTTGGTTAAAATTCATAGGAAGCACTGCCATTTTGAATGGCATCATTTTGACCTTGTTTTCCAATGTTTAATTCTGTTTCCAGGCTGGCAGTGATGGTGAAAGCATAGGAAACTGCCCTTTTTCCCAGAGGCTCTTCATGATTCTTTGGCTCAAAGGAGTTGTATTTAGTGTCACAACCGTTGACCTGAAAAGGTAAGACATGGTTACAGTTTGGGAACAATTTGAGGATGTATATACTTTCTTGTCTTTTCCATGTGGTCCTCTTCCTGTCCTTCACCTTGATTGCATACAAAGGAAATACATTTTAGTAAAGTTTCCTGGCTTATGGACAGATCCACCTTGTGTAAGTATTATGGACAATTCATAGTGGTAGTAAATTGCATGTAGCCTCTCTGTGTTCTTTGGAATTTATTGTATGTTTACCTTAAATTCCATGAGTAGCATTTGGAGTGAAGTTTTATTAGTGTGAATTTTCCAGTGTAAACATAGGACTGTGAAGGACTTTCTTGGCAGACATCTTCTTGGTCTCAAAATGGGCCAATAAAGTCTGGATCCTGAAAGACAAGAATGGAGAGGTGAGGATATAGCTCAGTGGTAGAGTGCTTTCCCAGAGCACACAAAACTGAGGTTTCAATCCCCAGTACACATTAAAAAAAGAAAAAAACAAAAATAGAATTTTTAGAAGACTGAATATTATTATGGTCTAATTAATTTAATCCCTTTTTCAGGGAATAATGAGTTTTCTCATGTTCTCAAATATTAAATCACATTTGGTTAAATGTAAAGTAAGAGTAATTACTTTTGGCCCTGCAATTGTTCTTGCTAGTCGAAGGTTATTTCTAGCTTTCTGTCCATAGGCCAGAGTGAGGAGAGCTGAGAAGAGTTCTGACAAGAAGGAAGGTCTTTTTCACTCAGGAACTTCTCTCCATCAGCAAATAGCTCTGAGGTGCAATACATTTATATCCCTCTCCGAAAGATTTAATTTTGACTTCGTTCTTTTGTGAGGGAGTGGTACTAGGATTTGAACTCAGGGCAGGTGCTAGGCAGGCACTCTGCCACTTGAGCCACACCTCCAGCCCCTTTCCAAAAGATTTAAAACAAGGGTCAAGAATAGTTGTACCAATGGAAGATTTAGGATTCAGTGGTGGAAATGTGTGTGTGTGGTGCATGTTTGTTGCTGGTGATTGAACCAGGACCAGGTGCATGCTAGGCAAACACTCTACCACTGAGCTACAACCCCTGCTTCATGTGTTCCTCTTTATGTAAATGCCACAGCACGGTTTACTATTTATTTTTTAAGTATTATCAAGTCATTGATAGTGTTCAGGGAAAATACTGACAAGCTAGCACTTTGATGGGTGGCGGAATTGGTGTGTGTCACCCCTCTGCCAGCGTCACAACCTGAGAATTGCCTGAGAGCTGTGATCCCATTCCCAGGTCTAGCTTAGCATACTTTGTGATCTCTGTCAGAGCCTTAAAATTTGTTCTTACTCCCAGTGGAAATTTTGAGATTTTGCATACTTATGATATATTTATTAAAAATGAACCACGGAGTCTTCCAGAAACCTATTTATATATTTATTCATTCTGTACATCCATGATCTTTTTTTTTTTTGAGAGGCAGGTTTCACTGTGTAGCCCAGGCTGACCTTGAACTCACAGTCTTCCTACCTCTGCCTCCCAAGTGCTGGGGTTATAAAAGTAGACCACCACATCCAACCCAAAAACCCTTTTAGATGTGTATGAATGTAGAAATAGCCTTTGAGGGTAGTCAGAGTTAAAAGGACAGCTTCTTGGGAAGACATTACCTTATTCATGTTAGACAGAGCTGTTTTAAGGGTGAAATAAATCATGTAGTTACCCTTCTATTACTTTTTCTTTCCTACATGCATTCAGAAAGGAAGTTTCCCAATATAACTCTAAAAATAGACCATTCCACCAGGCACACACCCTTTCTATGTCCTAGAACACATGGATTTCTCCTTTTCCATTTTTGGTGTGGAGCAAGCAAATTGACTGCCATGCTTTGAAAAAGCCTTCTTTGACTAGTTCAGTACAGGGCTTGATTGTGTTACACCAGTAATAGCAAATGTGGTTCAGAAATGGACTGAACCCACCAAGGCCATCTCCAAGTCATCTGTTTCTTTTCTCTTTCAGACTCTTTAAGGCTTCTTTCTGTAAGTCAGTTGATACTGGAGGTTTTGATATGTTTGAGAGACTGTATACCACATACAAAAAGTGACAAATGGGAAGTAGGTGTTCAAGGCCTCATAATTAGAAAATATCAAAGCAGATGGGTATTTCCTAAGCTTTGTGTAAAGTCAACAGTAGCGAACACTTAAAATCAAAGCCTGTAGATCTCCAGTACCGCTAAAATAATTTATTTTTATTTTTGGCAGTACTGGGGTTTGAACTCAGGGCTTCACGCTTGCTAGGCAGGTGCTGTACCAAATGAGTCACTCGACCAGTCACTCCAGACCTTTTTTGTGACGGGGTTTTGGAGAGCGGGTCTCAAGAACTGTTTGCCCAGGCTGTCTTCGAATCTCGATCCTCCTGATCTCTGCCTCCTGAGTAGCTTGGATTACAGGTATGAGCCACTGGTGCCCAGCTAAAATGATTTTATTTATTAATTTATTAGTTTATTTTTGTGAGTCAGGGTCTAGCTATGTAGCCCAGGCTGGCCTCTTAACTCTTGATCCTCCTTCCTCTGCATCCTACTCAGTTCTGGGATTACAGGTATGCACCACCAAATCCATCTTAAAAAATGCTTCTTAAGGGCAACTAAAGTATATAAGTAGTAGGTAATAATACACCCTTCCAATCCCTGTCGTGGTCATCAGTTTACCATTCAGAGATAATTGTGTTTAGGTTTGGTCTTTATTTTGATAGGCCTTTTCTAGGAGCTTATACACTTACAGTTTTGTACAAAGTTTCAAAGAAAAGGTACCCCAAGAGAGTGAACATTGGTTCAAAAATTCAGTGTATAATTAGAAGATTGTCATAGAGCAGTGAAACATTCTGCAGTAAAACGTACCTTTTGTAATGTAGTCTTAATTTTAAAGCTTTAACTGTGGCTCTTTAGAAATCTGTGTGGGGGAGAAAATACCTATCATGCTTATTTTCCTCCTTGTCTTGGTAATTGCCCAATTCCTCAGAGCAAAGTACTGATCCCAGAACCCACCAGCGGAGTGATAGAACCCCGCTGAGAGCTATTTAGAAACCCACTCTAAGCTCTGAAAAAAATGATTGTTACTTGACATTTCATCCATAAGAACACGCCCCTTTCTAGCTTTGGCACTGTGTCACATGTTCTCTTTGAGTATTAGTTGGTGTTAATGGCTGCTGGTGGTATTCATGTATTCTTTGTGAGTCTTTGAACAACCTTCCATTACTTGCTTCCAGTGCAGCCTTAATGCTGTTGTGGGAGTTATTTCCAAGCCTAATTTTCTGTTCATGCTGCAGTTGTATTAAAGGAGTTTTAGGTAAAATGTACCCTGACACCAGAAAGAAATTGCCATTTGAACAAAAGCTGCAGATAAACATGTGACGATATAAAAATTGGGGACACAGCTACAGACATTACTTATTACATGTCATGAGATGGGGGGCAACTGTGACATGGGAAAAAAATGAGTTTGGGTTCTGTATGGAGAGAGCCATGCCATTGATTTCAGTGTGCCTTCAGGGTCATCTATGTGCTAGACACCTTACTGTTGCAAACCATTTTTGCACCTATTATTGAAAAAAATCATTGTTTTATAGAGCCTTCTAGCTGTCAGGTTCATGGCATTGGTCTTAATTTGAAGACTTCACTATCTTCATTATGCCCAGGTGTTCCTAAGTCAGAGATTGGAATCTTTATAGCACATTTAACTGCTTTTGTGTGTGTGTGTGTGTGTGTGTGTGTGTGTCACTGGGGTTTGAACTAAGGACCTTGTGCTTGATTGCTAGTTGTACTCTGCCATTTGAGCCATGGCTTTAGCTCTAGCACAGTTACATCTTAATTAAGCCTTTAAGAGCCATGGATAAGCTTGAGAGGTAGGCAAGGGGAACAGAAAGTGTGAGAACAGTAATGCAAGAGAGAGAGAGAGAAAAATGCTAAGACACTGACCTGCAAATACCTGGTGTAGCCATACGTTGTCACATGCCTATTGAGGTATACTTTTTGGATTTTGAGAAATTAGAATAGAAATTTATAAGCTTTTTATTATAGAAGCAGTTATGTCTGCTATAGTATCAGTGAATAAAATCCTTTCTCCGTGGTATTCTCTGAGGGAATAAATAAATTGGAGTTCACATTTAAAACTCTAGGAAATACATGATTGCATTCTCAACTTAAACACTGAAGCTCTCTCATTCTTTACATTGTGAGTAATGATTTCCTTCTGCTTCAAAAGTAAACATACCATTATTATGTGAATCAGAGTCACAGTCAAGTTACCATAGTAACAAAATAAACTTTTGGAACATTGTTTATTTCATAATAGCTTAAAATGTTACAATGGAACTATGAAACTGATAGTTTTGTATATCTTAAAAGGTATCTGTAAACTCAGAACAAAATCTGATTAAAATAGATTCTTTAAATTCATTTTTGTTATCACGGTTTCAAGTTGGGTGTGGGAGTGCATATGTATAATCCCAGCACTTGGATGGCAAGTTCAGGCCAGCTGGATTGCATAGTGAGACCCTATTTCAAAATAACAATAACTAAGAAAAAAAAATCAGTTTATCATATCTCTCTAGTTCTACCCTTCTGAAAACAGCCCTCAGTAAGCTGAGAAATCAGATCTGTCTACCAGGTGGTAGATCTTCAGTAACAGCAGTGTGAATGACACATTCAGGAAGACTGAAAGGAATGGAATAGGCCTGTATTTTTGATAAATCATATGCCTATTGCTAATTGTTCAGGAAAGCAGATATCATTCTTCCCCTTTGTAAAGTTGACTTAAGCTGCACGAGGCCCACAGAATTGTCCTACAATTCAAGAAAATGTGTTTTATGAGTACATTCTGAATCACATGGATACCCTATCTGTGCTTCTGTGTATCTCCCTCTTTCCCTGCCACACAGAATTTTGCTGCCAGATATTTTTATGTTCATTTTCAAAATGATTTGAGATGATAGATCCTCTTGAGGCTGCTAAGAGCTGAGGTAGGAAAATTATGTGAATGTTTTTTAAAAAAACCGTT